TTTCTTATAATTTCAAAATGTTATAATAACTAATTATTTAATTATAAATTCTTTTAGATTTTAAAAATATATTCTACTATCAAAAGTTTAAACATATTAAGTCTAATAATAAAAAAAATAATCATAAATTACATTTGAACATTTCTATTAATAATTATAACTCAAAGTATATAATTTATTTAAGTTATATTTTCAACCTTATTAAGTTTTAAAATTATTATATATTTAAATTTAATAAATAAATACACAATATAACTTTTAATTTTAAATTAAATATTTGTAAATAACTTACAAAATAACTCTCGAATAATCACAAAAACTTAAACTCAAACTTATCTTTTATTAAACTCGATATTAAACTCAAGTTCAACTCGTTTACTAAAGAGCTCGGGCTTGAATCAAACTTAATTTGAATAGTTCAAAGATTAACCTACCCATTATCACCCTTGTCAGCAATACCATTCAGCTATTTAAGAAAATCATTTAACTACTCGTTTATTTCTAACACCTAAACTGAAGGCTTACTTATACGCTAAGGTTCCACTAAAGTCAACTACGAACAAAGTAGGGAGAAAGGCCAAAAAAAAAAAAAAGCCCATGTACTTTTTGTGTCATGACAAAAAAAGTCTTTGAATTCAAGTTTGAGGCAAACAACTCCGTTTTTTAACTAAATAAAATTTTATTTATCAACAAACTAGCCATATGGCATCTACATAAATAAGGAAGCCCTATATCACATATAAGGACTTATAAACATTCATGTATAAATCACACGTTAAAGCATAGATAGTGAAGATTAAAAAAAAGAGTATTAATTTCAATAACATTTTAATGTTAAAGAAAGATAATAACACTATCACACTATAGCTTCTGAAGAAATGATACTATTTACATACTCTATGTCTCAGTACATATTGGACACCTTTCAATGTACCCTTGAGATAAATAAACACAATCTCCATTGATGTCGTAGCCAAAACACCCATATATTAAGATAAATTTGATAGCAATTTCTTCTTCTTTTTCATCTTGCTCGTTGTTCATTTGCTAAATCTGAAGAAGAAACCTCCAAATATACAAAACCAACTAGAAACTACTAGTTGGAAAAAGAGACAAGAAAAGAAAAAAACGAAAAGAAAGGAAAAAAAATAAAGAGGAAAGTTAGAGGAAGAGAGAGGTGGCTATTGAGATAGGGAAAGAAGGATCATGTATAGAGATGAGAGAACTTAGATGAGAAATGAAGGAAAAGAGGGGTGGAAAAAGAAAGAAAGTGAGACTAGAGGAAGAGGAGGAGAAGAAAGAAAGAGAATGGAAGTTAGAGGAGGAGGAGAAACAACACCAAACAACCAACGGTGTTAAGCACCATACATAAGAGCGTAAGTTCTCCAATAATCCAAAAAGTTCTAGAAACTCTAATAGAGTATTGTTAGAACTATGTTAATTAGTTTTAACAAAAAAATTAACTGAAAATTCATTTGAGTTCAAAGACTACCATCAAAACTAACAAAGAAACGTTATAAAGGCTAAAATGCCACTACTTGACAAGTACAAAAGGCTTATTTGCCTCAAACTAGAGTCAAAGGTTTTGTTTTCCACACCTTGAAGGATATGGGACCTTGCCTCTTTTGCCAAATAATAAATAATAATAATAATGACATCGGAGGAACAAGCTAACTCAATCCCCGAACCCCCACCCCTGTCTCTTCGCAGAAGAACTGAGATCTCTACACTCTCTCTCCCAAGTACGAGCTGCACCTCTTTCTTGGAACTAAAGCGATGCTCCCATTCCTTCAGACATACAAGGGCTTACTCCTCCAAACCTCTCTCTCCCTCGCCCTCACTCTACTCCTCACATTCCTCAAAATCCCCATCTTCTTCCTCCGCGGCCTCCACACCTACATCCACCCAGACAATGTCGCTCCCAACACCGCCTCCCGCCAAGGTATCCGAGCCGCCATCCGCCGCCCCTCAGATTCAGGTCCCGCCCTTGATGGTTATCAGACTTTATCATCCAGAACCAATGCCGAGCTCAAGAGGAGAAACAAATCCAAGGAGAAGTTCGAGTTCGATGAGAACAATGCCCAGATCTTCAGGTTGAGGCTCGACGAGGGTCATCTTCAAACCCGGCTCTATTTCAATGAGTATCACAATTCCTTTGTTCTATCTTTCGTGGGTATTTCGTGTTTCTTACTTTATAAGTACTATTTGGGAGAGTCTGTGGAGGATTCTGGGGTTTTGGTAAATGGGAATTTGATTCCGGTTGTTTTCGGAATCATTGCTCTGTGCAAAGTGTTTGTGTCGCTTGCAAGGGTTTCGTTTGAGAAATCGGCGTCTAAGAGGTCGGAGAAGCAATTGAGTGCAATTATTGGGGTTTCGTGGTTTTTCTTTGGGATTATGATTTGTTTTGGAGTGATTCCTTCTGTTTTCGATTTCGATTTCAGCTCAATTGATGTGTCCTGGAGGGTTTTTATTGCTGCTTTCTTGGGACTGTCTGCGGGTTTTTTGTATATGCCTGCAGGGAAGAATGCACGGTCCTTTTGGCTTGGAACAGATCAACTTAGATGCAATTTATCCATTGTTTCTTGTGGATGGTTTGAAAGAGGAATTTTGTATACAAATTATTTGTTAACTGTATTCACGGCTTTGCTTTGGACCAATCCATTTGCTCACATTCTTGTTAACAAGAACATTGATGATGGTAAAGGAGCATCCACATTTATTAGCGTTGGAGATGCTGAGAAGTTAGTTGGAAACATGGGGTTTTCCCAGTTGAGTTTTACTAGGTTTAGGCTGTTGTGCCTTCTGCTTTCTGCCTTCCTCCAAATTGTGGCATTGCGACCAAACTTGCAAATGTTTTTGAATGAAGCAGTTTTATGTTGGTATCAAAGACTGCATGCCAGCAAGGTTCCAGAATTGGATTTTAGTCGCGCAAAGGTTTTTCTGCACAACCACTACTTATGCCTTGCGCTTCTGCAGTTCTTTGCACCACCAGTCTTGGTACTTCTCTTTTTTGGCTTATCTCAGATTGATGGTAACTTCTTTGACAAATACCTGGTATGTGGTTTAGTCCCTTGTTCTGCTTTTGTGAAAGAGACAGCTTTATTTATGGCTTGGTCGATTGTGTTTATTTGGGCAATTCTAACTACAGCTAGCCTGATTTTTTATCGTCGTGGCACTTTGTATGTTTCTTGATTATTGATAGTTTTGTAACAACCTTCAATGTTTGGCCTTTCTGTTTGGACCTTTGTCTAATTTTGAGTGGAGGGTGTTGTGCTTGTAACTGATTATTACAGTTGGTGATACGTTGCCCTGCAATGCATTGAGCAAAGAAAAGTTACACTTAGACATTCTTGACCTTCTAGTTTTGGTTTGTTGCACTAATGAATTCTGTAGCATATACCTGGCTAAAGCTGTTGGTTGACATTTGCAGAAGTTTATTCAGAATTTATCATGTTAACCATTATTGAATTATTTTCTCAAGATTTATTGTCTTTCATAACACAGACCTAAAGAAGTTCTTTCGGTGTGCATAACTGGACTCCTTTCTTCTCTTTAAGTGCACTTTAGGGAATGAATTTGCAAGTGAATAATGATGTTATCATAGAACTATTTTCATAGTTAAGAACAAATGAGGTATAATTTGTCATGGTTACCGTATAATTTTCTCTCCGTATTGTCCTGTGTGGAACGGTATTACTATAAGCTAGAATGATCATCATTTAGAATTTATAAGCTAGTAAAGATCTAATACATCATCCATACTAAAGCTGCACAGTTATGTGGATCAATTAAATTATTTAAGTTTTTGGATGAACACTTTTGGGTCTTAGAAGTACTAGAACAACTGACTATGAGTTTGGCTGTATGTTTCTTAGATGGGTAGACTTTGGAGTATCGATCAGTTCCATAATTAAATCCATTTTCCTATATAAAGTTGTCATATGAAATGGTAACTGTCTTCCGGCCTCAAGGATTTCTAGATATGCATGAAGTCTCAGTTTGTTGTGATATATATTTAATATGCACAACATTGGATTTAGGGTTTCCTTAGACATCAAGATTTTGGAGGACCCTATGTGTTTAAAATTTTCTCGTAACTGTGTCCAATAAGTTGAAACCTGATATATATACTATACAGTGTCTCCAATCTAGTCATACTATATACAATTGTTTAAATTGTATATATGAGTGAGGTGCCAGTGGTCGAGCCAGGAAATATTTTTAACTTTTTATCCTATCCTAAAAGAAAATTAAGATTAATTATCCTATAATAAAAAATTTTATTTTAGTTTTTAATTCTTAAAAGTAACATAGATAAATACATGAATTATTTTTAAATTTAATTTAAAAAAATAAAAATAATTATTATTATTTTAGGATTGAAAGAGTAAATTATTATTTTAAATGTGGATGCATATTATTACACATATGCACCCAAATAAATTAATGAATTATAAATATACTAGAAGTATGGGGTGCATCTTTAATATAGTTGGGGGAAGTATTAATCTTGAAATAAGTAAAAATTAATAAAAAAAACCCAAACAAAAAATTTTAAAAAAAAATACTAATTTACTTAGATGCTTGTTCTATAAAATATAGATATGGATGAAAGATGATAAGAGAAGAGAACCCAAGCGGGAATAGATGTTTCTCTTAACAAATTATGGATGGGGATTTTGGTTCAAGCAGTACTTTTAATCATCTTGACAACATAACAAAATTACCAAGTGATAGCGAATAACAGGTGCGGGCGCCTACTGCTAGCGAAGTTGATGAGGAGCAGGCGCCAGCGCCTAGTGCCAGTGATGATGATGAGGAGGGGGACCAAGTCCGGTTAGGTTTAGAAACCTCAACGAAATGCCTGAGGAATTAGGTGAACAAGATTTAGACAGCTCTTCTTACGAGAAGGATGATGAAGACGAAGAAGAATAAATCCTTAGAGTGATGGTGATCCTGAATAGCCAAACATGTGCAATCGTGAAGAAACCTTACAACTTTGAAAGCAATGGTGAAGTGGAAGCCGAATCCAAGTTCAGCCAAATTTAAGCAATCATCTGAATCAGAGGGTAAAGGGAAAAGCTTGAATCTTTTAACAGAAGGGTTTAGGAGACCCAATTGCCGATTCAGGTGAGGACCTTGAGAATTTGCCAAACACAGCAAACGACCAGGAACCGATCGATTATTGTACGTAGATGACCAAGAAAGCGGTATGGTTTGTAGTTGTGGCTTTGGTGTCAATGTCCCAGGTTCGATGTTAAGGCGGAACGAAAGGATCCAGTGAAGGCACAGAGGCTACAATGAAAACTGAGTGAGAGACAGATGCACAGAGGCTGCAATGAACGGATTCATTGTCAAATCTTTTGGAACAGGGGCTTTAACCATTTGGCAATGGAAGTTTTAAGGGTTTTCTCACAAAGTCATAATATTTTTCCAACACAAGACTATTTATAATTACATTATGAGTGAATATCATGATGTAAGTGATAATAACAATTAACAATAAAATCTTCAGATATGAAAGATATCATAAAAATACATATAATAACAAGGACGTTGATTGGCTTACCCTCCTTTATCTCACACTTTATTACACACACTCTTTTTCCGTTACCCTCTGTTACTTTACATTAAGCACCCAACCCAGCCCTTTTTTTTCTCTCCCTCCTTTCCTTTCTCCTTCTTACTGTTCACCATCCTCCTTGCTAATCAAAGCCATCAGAATCCCTCTAGATGATGAACTGGAAACATATAAAGAAATCATGAGAATCATCAGCCTTTTGATATCAGAAAACGTCTCTCTTCTTCACCTAGCATTGATTCTTTGATTTTCAACCTTCTTCCTTCTTTTCCCACCTCCTCCTTTCTTTTTCTTCTTCTTTCCCTCCCTCGCCTCTTCTTCCTTCTCTTCCCCCCCTCCTTGATCTATTGAAGGTGAACCTAGATCTGGGTTCTCGGAGAACCTAGATAGAGAGAAAAAAAAAAAAGAGAAAGAAGGAAAAAAGAAGAAAATGAATTTTTATAAATTTTTGTTAGAATTTTTACAAATTTGATGCTTCTCTCTCCACTATTTCAATTGATGATTGCTCTATCTCTGCTCTTGCTCTTGCTCTTGCACAATCTTCTTCCTCAGATATCCTGTTGTCCAGCGACCCACGAGAAATGGGAAACCATCATGGCAACGATGGACCATTTGAGAAAATAGGGGAATGATCGGAGATGTCTGAGTGCGTTTGGGCGTTAACGACAAAGTAATGGAGGATGGGTGTGTGTAATGGAGGGTGTAATAGAGGAGGGTAATTGTAGCATTATCCTAATAACAAATAAAATTGTAACTTTTTTAAAAGAGAGACTGACAAGCATACTTTCATGAATTTAAATATAGATTTTGTCCCTTTTATTGCCAAAATGGCAAAACCATGTGTAATAAGGCATGCACCCACAATCATTTAGTAATTTTAATGCTTTGATTGCACCTACGTGAT